TACTGCTCTCACCGCACACGTTATTTACTACGATCGCACGTATTCCCTCGTTTGACCGGATATTTTTTAGTATAGTCATCCAGACAGGTTTCCATTGCGTTTCCAATCCCCAGTATGTCTCGCTCTTTTAGCTAAGCTGCATACTCTCGCCCACATTGCTTTGTCCGCGATCAGGAATGCAGCCACAGGCCAATAACCCGTTCAATGTTCATTTTTGTAAATGTTGTATTGCATTATTGATGACTTGTGCAGGCAACTGTGCCTACATTTCAGTCAAAAAACTTGTTCACCGATACAGTGGGATAAAAAAATGACGTGAGAATTCGTATACAGCAATGATAAAACTAAATAGTGTTCATCTTTGTAGATTTAAGATTAGTTCGTTACGGATCCTCGCCGTGTCAGTGAGAATACGAGCCAAATAGGGAACCGTTCAGTTGCGATAAATGTTTATGCGGGAGGGTAAGCAGCGAAAATTGGATCGAGTTGCAGCGCGTGGGAACGGTAAGCAGATAAATCGGGATTGAGCGGATGACTGGGTTCATTGAGTATCTTATGAGCGAAATTCTCACTTGAAGTGACATGCAAATTACACAATTTTGTGATCGGAGTGTTTAGAGGAATAAGAGAAACACGGATGATAATTACCAAACCGCGACTTAGAGTATTGAAATCCTTTCTAAGTACTCCAGGCAAAATAACGGGTGAACAATAAAGTATGACAGGAAAAATGCAGATAGTTTCATGTCTGATGCGAAATTGTCGTAGCTTGCGTATTTAAAAAAGATAAGCGACGTCGTCTACCAACACGGGCTAGTCTATAAGAGGACCACCGTAGATTGTTATCTATGGTGACTCCTAGGTATTTGGTGGTATGTGTTCCGGTGACGGGTACAGAATTGATGACTGGTGGTTCCAAGGGATAATCGGATCGGGAGAGACTAAAAATGCATTCAAAGCATTTAGTAGTATTCAACCGGAGACCGTATTGATTCGAGAATGATTGCACTTGTGGTAAACTGTCAGAAACTGATTCCATGTCAGATTGGTTTGAAATGGGTTGACATAAGACCACATTATCAGCATACTTGAACGTCTGGGCTGGTGTTGAATACAATGTCCGTATTTCATGATTATGCGAAAATCGCCACTGTTTCTGGATGCACAGTTCAATTTTTATCCCCCCCCCCCCCGCCTCACCCGTGTATTTGTTCGGTGTTCAGAGTAACGAGGTGAAGGAGGTGACAATTTTGAAACAGGCGGATTTCCCGTCCATATACAAATGGGTTCAGGATCGATGTGTTTCTCCGGTGCGCGAATTGACGTTTGCCAACGCCGAGGAGATTGCCGATGAGGGTTTACCGTTTCTACTCTTGTTCTATGATCAAAAGTCTGCTCATTTAAAACGCCTTTTCCATGAGCTAGTGAAGAACCATTTGCAGGAAGAACGCCGTGAGTGTCTGTGTATGTGTGTGTGTGTCTGATTGATCGTTTTCATTGTTTTGTATGACTGTTAGTCAGTCGGTCGTTCGGATGACTCGCGATTTCTACGTTCAAAGAGCTCTTCGACTCGCATCATCGATTAATTTCATACATACCCAAATTGACATTTCTGGTGTCTGCGATTCCGCATCATTAGCCGAATGGTATTCCATGGATTATGTCCACCCAAATCCATCTGTGTTGAAAATTCAAAAAATCATCGCGGTTTTTGGTGTTCTGCTATTTTACCTTTTTTTCGAAGGCTTTCCGTCCCATACTCGTATAATCCCGCAATGTGATCTCTCCCAATGGTACCTCTGAATCTGGTTTTATTTATTAATCACACGTATCTGTATCCAGATGGCGTGCCGAATAAATCACGGTTCTACAATCTGTATAACATAGAAATGAGTTCATGATTCACCGTGTTCTATTCCATGCTGTTTTGCACTAACTTGCTTGCGAGACACAAGTGTGATACTCACCAAGTCCTACTAGAAATAATGTGGAACGATTGTAGCCAGGGATGCGGATGTTGCTGATGTTGTTGTGTTCTCTCCGAGAGCTGGAAGCGCGTTGTTCCCAACGGTTTCGTAGCCAGACTAGACAACTTCGGGGCTTCAACGACCTTCGAATCACTGACTCTGATTGGAACTCCCAAGGGTGGGGAATGTTTCATTCATGGCTCTCACAAAGCAGACCGTCTCCTAAACTGTCAGATTTTAGGCTAATATTGATACTTATATCCAAACCCCCCAACACCTTTACAATTTTCCTTCCGTGGTTGTATTGCTCCTTATCCGCAATGTTTTAATTTGGTTCCTTTTTTCAAACATTCTTCACCCTCTTCGTTCCTTTTTTTTGCGACCCAGGGACGGTGAACTTCTTGACTGCGGACGGAGTGGTTTTCTCACATCCGCTTAGTCATTTGAACAAGACACCCAAAGATCTACCACTGATTTGCATTGACTCTCTGGTGCACATGTACAAACATCCGCTCCCCGTGGATGTCATCCTGAGGTAAGAAGTCTACTCGACTATGCCGTGGCCCGCATCATTAGAAAGCGTCATCTTGTATCACGTGTAGGTATAGAACCCATGCTATTCATTCTCTCACTGCGTTCAATGTGCCTCACATAGGACGAACAAAACCTACGGCAAGTAAAGCTTGAGTCTGTTTTGTCACCTCGGCGAAATCGAGCCAGCGACCAAATGACACGACACCTTGTTTCTCTTTTGTTCAGCTTAACAAACGTTCTACTGCTAGTCCATGTAGTTTTCCCTATTGAACCTTTACACGTCTGCAAACAGGCTTGTTTCCTGAGCTTCATCGACTGGTTAACTATAACGTATTTCATGGTAGACCACACATGGTGTCTCAACGATAATCAAATTTATGTGTTCAATCGGTTTTATTTTCAATTGTAATTCTCTGTTGGGGTTTATTGCCTCAAACCAGGTCATCGTCCCTCCGCCCCCCGTGATCGAGCCGAGTAAATTGAACTACTGACATCCTGATGTACGTTGAGTGAAAAACGCGAAATTCGAGTGACCAGAGAGGATGAAGTCAGCTGACGGAAAGTTGTCGTCTGTCCTTTTTTTCGTTTCGTGCAACGTAGAGTTCACAGAATGACGAAGCAATGATACCCTAGGTTATGTCTGGCCTTGCCTTGGGGTAGCACATTTCAAATAAGCAAACTTTCGTGAGATACCGTTACGCACATGCTCGTTAGTGACCTGTTGCTGTTCCTGCTCAACAACAGTCTGAGTGAAAATTTGTGGATTGCACAATCCTTTCCTCATTAAAAAAATCTGTCATCCATTCGGAATCATCCCCTCCCCCACCCCACCCCGTTTTTGCCAATGATTATATTTCTCTGTATATTCCCCCCCCCACCGCACTTTCCCACTTTCTGACAGCGATCCCGCTTATTTGAAACAATTCGTGGCTGATCTTCACTCGCAAAAGCTACATCGTGAGTTCCACTACGGACCGGACTCAGACCAACCGGAAATCGCAAAATTAAAACCCACTCCGGCTGCGTCCAACAAGCAGGTAAGCGTCAAAGAAAGAATGTGAAAAGATCACTGCTCTGTCGGGGTAGCCTTGTAGCTCGTGCGCTGTGCAAAAGCGTAGGTGGCGTCCATGCGTGGGTTCGAATCCCACCGAGGCTATTGAACTTTTCCCAACCTCAACAAGAACCGGTTTGAGTTTAAAGGAAAACCCTGCCCCAGGGGACGCGGTCATATGAGTCGCTTTAGTTTTCCCGGATGAAAACCTTGTGATCAATCTAATAAGAAAATAATAAATGATTGGCTAAATATTATAAGTAGTGTCGCGCGTACATTTACTCATTTTCCACGCAGGTTTAGTCAGTTGATGTTTTCTACTTTAATTTGGTTTCGAACTTGAAACTGTTCCGTTTGACTATCTGTTTTGTTTTCTTCGCTTCGGAACCCATATTTTACGTTAATCCATGGTTATTTTTGAAGCCGTATCTTTAAAGAATAGTGTTATATATATCCATATGTATCGACCAAGTAGTCAACCGAAAGACAGCAATGGAAATTGATAGTTCATCATGATCGCTAACCCCAGGTAAAATATCTTTCCTCCTCGTCTCGTTTGCTAATCTGCGAAGTCTTTGGCGCCGGTGTGACATATCTCTTTCATTGAAAGGGCGTGTGTATTTCTCAACGGTACGCTCCGTGTTGTTGCACGGCTGCGAAACCTAGCCTCTTCGAGCAGGTCGTGTTCAATGACTATTCGTCATCGACAACTCTTGTATGCACAACATCGCCCGCGTATGATGAGAGCATCGCGTGAATAACAATGTAGTCAGACGACGGGTGCTGGGATCAGACAGTCTTCCATTGAGAAAAAACCATATCGTTGCATCGGCTGGCTGAGGCACGTTCTGCGAATGCCTGAATAACGTCCGCCATACCGTGCGCTATTTGCAGACGCTGGTCCGGGTTGGAAGAATTAGCGAGGTTGGCAGGCTATGCCGTGGCGTAAAGTGTCATAGAGGATGTCCCTGGATTAGGCTTTTATTGGGGCTCCAAAGATACAGATAGTTTTTCCTGAAAACACTGCGGGATGTGGTATCGAACCGAAATCAGTGGTGTAAATGCATCCTTTTCTGCGTGCGACCTCAAAAAGGTAAAAATGGCGTGCAGTAGACAAATAAAATAATGTTATTCTCAAAAATTGTCTGTTTTTCGTTTCTATGCTTCACGTTCAACCCATGGCTTTTTTAGTGTCGTTTCTGTAAAGATTGCTTTTTTTATTACACACCTAAGTGTGATGAACAACAAACGGGGCGAACCCCACAGTCACGAGCACCTGCTGTTCAGTGGTGCTATGTATATATTGCACCAATCTCTGTACTGCCAAATGAAGGTCCGAGTAAGTTGTAGGCTGTTCTAAGTAGTTTGAGTACTAGTGTGGCCATTCTCGGTATGTGTTTTGCAACCTTCAGTGTGAAATATTGCTCCAGGACTGAGTTGGCCCAGTCCCCAGCCTCACTCGAGCTAGGGAACTAATAGTGCAAGTAGTGGTTTAGTCCCAGTGGCGTGCTTCGGACCCTATGGCTTGAAGTTCGACCCCCGCTACCGCCACCCAATCTTGGTGGTAGGCAGCTTTGCTGTCACTGGATTACATATCGTGCCTAACCTAGTTTTGCTTTACGTGGTTCACCATCCAAATCCCAGGGCTTAAATTGCCGGTTTCCGTAATTAAATAGCCGAGCTTTGTGATTATGAGGCCTCCTTCGTTTGTTGTTTATCGCTCTAAGCTGTGCAATAAAAAGACCATCAGGTAAAACATTCACGATACTGGCTCTTTAGAAATCTTAATGCTCGCCCGTTAAAAGCCCGACAGGCCTCCTAAGCTCTATTCCTCTACTGAGTTTTGAACGCGGTCTTCAGCGAAACAGCTACTCAAACCTTTTGGTTCGTTGGATATGTGTGTGCGGGCGTGTCTCAGTTGTACCATGTCAAGTTGTG